GCTTGGTGTGTGATTTTGTACATATGTTCATATTGTATATACTGAATTGATATCATCTGTCATCTAGCTGTTGGTAATTCTGTTTGTGTCCGGACGACTTCCACTTGGATCATCAACCTGAGAAGGAATGTAGGCGTACTGCTGTAAGTCCTACGGTTCTTCAAGGGTAGTTTGTCGTGTCAGAATCCACAACATTTGATGTGTTGATTGTACATATGTTTGTGTTAAATAGTTGTGTGAGTTCCAATTGATGTAATTGTTGGTTAATCGTGTTTGTGTCTGGACATTCCACAACTTACAATCGTCAACCTGTGAAGGTTTGTAGGCGTGCTGGTGTAAGTCCTGCAATTCTTTAAGGGTATTCCATCAAGACATGAAATGCGAGTTTGTGTGTACTGTTTGTATATATGTGTGGTGTGTCATATCAATTGGTGGTGTTTTGGATTAATTGTGTTTACTCGTTGTTTTCGTACCTTGTTTTTATTGCATAATTTTGTTAAAATTTTCGTCGTGATTACTTTCGAAGTTGTGTCCACTCTTCTACATCCGTGAATGAATTGATTGATGTTAAAGACAGCAGATGGGTCGTAAACGCCGGGGAGGCTATTGCTGAGAATGAAATGCACACGGAGATAATTGTTAGCTGCGGTCCGACACGCCGGGGAGAAAGAGTGTAAACGACTGAGGCTCGCATGCGTCACCGCTATTAGAACTGAGGCAGAATGAGTGACAAGCGATTTCAGTGGTAATTGGTAGTGAGTGGATAAGAGGATGTGCGTGGAGTATCGTGAGGTGCTGCCATGGTCACTTCGCATTCTGCAAGAGTCATTCTAGCAAGCGGCGATTGTGTTGCAAGATGTCAAGAGGAGGTCTCTGTCTGGAGGCGCAGGTCGTCATTGATGTGTGAGATTGTGCTGTGAGTATGCTTGTGGTGTGTTGGCTTTTCTGTTTGTTTTCCATTTCAGCTCTGTCCGTGTGACCCAGGTTCTCGCAATGGCATCCAAGTCGACGTGTATTGGTCGTGAAGAAAAAAGGGTTGGATCCCTTTTTTGCCGGGGAGTGTCAATGGAGTTGAAGATTGAACGATCAATTCATGGTTGTTTGCTCAAAACCAACTTCCCCAATTTTCGCGGAGGCATCAATACGACAGTCATCGTCTCATCGGTCGCTGTTCAGAAAGAAGAGTGAAACATCGTCAGAAGTAATCTTATGATTTATTATTGTAATATTTGTTTTCAGACCTTAGTTCGCTTATTCCTTTTATATGTTGGTGTAACAATAAACAAATCTAAAGCGGCAGATCAGTGTTTTGGTTTTTGCGTCCGTTATAACTAAGCGTTTCTGAGAAATCTTCGAAGAACAGTGTGGGCCCGAGCGTAGCGAGAGCTGGGCATTAACGGTTTATGAGACGTGATTGACATCTGCATTAGATCATTTGAGGACATAATTATACTGTATGGCATTTCAATGAAGGACAGACTTCCTAATCTTTTTCATTATGCACTACCCACTCTGCATCGGTGTCACAGTGGTTATGACCCTCGCCGACCGTGCACATGGTCCGGGGTTCGAGCCCACGCCGACGCACACTTGATATCTATGGCCGGTTTGCGAATTTTGGGCTACCTATATCCACGCTGAAAATTCCACACTTGTACCAAAAATACGGTGTCGAATCAAGCTGTAATCAAAAATAAATAAAAAAATAAATAAACAACCCAAAGAGTACAGGAGGTGAGTGAAAATACCCTGTAAAACTTCTTTGTCAGACAGTACAAGCAAATGGTTTTAGAAGCAACTGTCATGAAGAGTCAAGGTTTGTGCCATTATTTAGAACTTTCAACTCACGAAATAGAGAAATATGTGTTTACTATGAGAATATTCATGTTTATTATATACTTTTTTGAGCTCGGATGTGAATGGTCATTCCAAAATAATTTTGCTTATTATTACGGGAATCATCAAAAAGCATATTTTTTCTACGCGCCTTTCCTGGCAAACCCCAAAAACTTGCGGTGAATCATGTCAGAAAGAAAACCAACTAACCAGGGAGCATGCGCCTCAGTAGGCCCAAACGGTCAATATCTCACTAGTCTTGCGTTGTCTGAAACATTCAGTTTAGCCTTCGCCAAACAGCTAAACAGCAATGTGGGTGTTACCGTTCCAGAACAAAATGGTGGCACTACTATTTCACAAGGGGAAGACCTAATGGCTACTCCCCAAATAAACCCCGCAATAGTACTCAGGAAGGACAGACACTCACACCTGGGAAGTTCCCAGGTTGTGACGACATCGGGCCATCTGTTCTGAAACAGTGCGCCAAAGCTCTCTGTAGGCCCTTATGCGACTTGTTCCAACACCCAATGGATGCGGGGAAACTGCCAAGGGAGTGGAAAAGAGCCATCCTTTCTCCGATCTTCAAGAGTGGGGACAGGCAAAATGCCACAGTAGCTCTGCTCCCAGTGTTATCAAAAGCGCTGGAAAGTATTATTGACGATCACATCAGGGAATACCTCGATAGGTCTAATATACTCCATGAAGCCTGACACGGTTTCAGGAAAGGCAGAGCCTGCGTTACCAACCTACTGTCAGCTTGGGACGACTGGACATCATGCTAAGATATGCATATACCAGTCCATGTGGTCTTCCTAGACTTTGAGAAGGCATTTGACACTGTTCGACATGACCTTCTCCTGCGTAAAATAAGCCAGGCAGGTATAGGTAAGCCACTTCTGTCATGGTTAAAGTACTACCTGGCTGAAAGGCAATTGTGCACTAAGGTCAATCTTGTACGATCACCTTGGTACAGCTCGTCATCAGGAGTGTTGCAGGGTCCCATCCTAGGCCCACTGATGTTTTTTATTTTTACCATTGATCTATCATCCCGTCTAAGCCGCCCGAATGTTCTATACGCTGACGACGTAAAGATATAGAGGGCGATAAAGTGTTCGGAAGACTCAGATAGGCGACAGACAGACCTGAAACTTCTGGAAGACTGGGCGGTGGGCAGTGGTACGGCTTTCAGTCCGAAAAAGTAGTGAAATTACGCACATGTAGGCTGCAGAATGCAAGCTACACCTTGTGCAACAAAAGCTCGTCCTGCACAACGTCCGAGCTTGACTTAGGTCTAGGTCTAACGGGGAATATGGACACAAGCGTAAATTAAACGGGGGATGTCGCGAGGGCAAATGCGGTTATGTGCTTTACACATCGACAGTTAAGTGCACTCACTCCTGAGCTCTTTCTAAGGTTGTACAAAACATACGTCAGACCACACCCTGAAATGCATGATATTATTGTACCCCCACCGCTTAGAAGAGACGCCAACCTCTTGGAAAGAGTCCAACGATGGGCAACAAAAGGAGTGGTTGTTCTCCGAAATAAACTATATGATGTAAGGCTGAAGAAATTAGGCCCGTTCAAACTTAGCTACCGTCGTCTTACGGGGGATTTAATTACTGCCTACAAAATAACAAATGACCAGAATCACCCAAATAAAGGTGTTCTGCAATTGAGTAGGTATAGGCTTCCTCGTGGAAATTCCAGAAGGATAGCTCATCAGATGGCATGGATTCTGGCGCGCTCCAACTTCTTTTCACTGCGGGTTTGCCGTCCCTGGAATTCCTTACCGACAGATGTAGATATGGCACCGTCTGTGGACGCCTTTAAGCGGAGGCTGGACAGTCATGCAGAGGCACAAGGACTGCATCCAACTGGCCTATCCCCTTAACATCGCATACACCATCCAGGAGTAGACAATTAAACTTCACTAATTATATCAATTATTATTATCTTTTCTCTTGACGACGATACCGGAGGACTAACTGGTAAAAGGGTCAACTCCACTAACAGCAATAACAAAGTCCCAACACACCACATACTACAAACAACATGTAATTAATCCCAGCCCTGCTCCTTTTGGAGTCAACCAGAGCTACGACAGTCAAGTGGCGGGACGAGCTACGCAGAAGTTTACCGAAGATCAGGAGCCTATACCTCACAATCAAGAGGCGATCACAAAGAAATCAAGTTGATTTATACTGGCTCGTAAAAACGATATTGGATAACATAATCTTGTGGTGAAATTTAATTTTTCACATTTCAATGTTGTTATTGAATATTGAATGACCTAAGAATCATTATTCTTTAAGCACATCAGTCGTTATCGTTAAGTGGTTAGTGGCGTGTTTTCTTCCGTGGAATTCTCTCCGAAGGTAACTAAATATTTGGCAGCTATTCATTTATTTGCTGGTGATAACCCATGTGGTACAGATGATTAAATTCCGTCAGGAGATTTTAGATTACACAGTCTTATCTTGTTTTGATATATTTCAAAAAGAATACCCACGTGGTCGTCTACCCTTATCAGAAATGCGCTGAATTTCAAGACGGTTGTTTCTAAAGAGTCTTCATTAGGAAATACAGTGGAAAAACTTTGCTTGAGTAAGAACTTGTTACAGTCATGGCTCTAACAGGTGAAGCCAAAAATTTAATTTGTCTCCGGCACACAAAAGCATCAGCAAACCTGTTGCTCATATTTTCCGTACATGATAAAATCTGTTTATAATAGTGATAAAAACGCATATGACATGTAGTTACGAGTCTTTACTGAGATAGCACTATGTAGTCTGAATATTTATGCTCTCATTATTTTTGACTCCGAACGTTAGTCTCTTAATCTGCATGCTCGTAAGTCCAGATGAAAGGTAGGGAGACAAACATGACATTACTTTGGATTTCTTTGGTAACTGGATCTGTGACTATACATCTGTAGTTAAGTTGGATAATTTCCCACTGGTTCATCTCGTTTTTCTTATGGTTTGGATTTCATCAGAAGCACAAATAATACAAAACTATAAGCATAGGTCCTTGTATAGAATTGTACAGTATTTGCATATGTCTATAATTGTCTTCTAATTTGCTCTAATTTCAAATGACGCATCTTTATTTTAGAAATATTTAAAAATCTGGGATCACTCTGTAGAACGGATTTCCGAGAAATGATCGCAGCTGATATAAATATTTTGCAATCAAAGTTTACCACCCTCTTCAAAACCTCTAGAAATCGAGTGCATTTAGCATTTTTGCAACAGTTTAGCAATGCCGTAAGTTTCCTTAACTTTCAACATTTCTTTCATTTTTGAGTCAAAGTAAATTTTACAAGCAGATGTTCTTTATATGCTTCAAAATCTTACCTGTATTATTTTCGGTCAAAGTGATTATTCTAAAAAAGGATATTGAACTGTAAAATGTTTGAGTAAACCCTAGCAAAACAACTCGATTTTGCATAGTCGTTCTGATTTTCAATTACATTTAATTACACTGGTGGAGAAGTAGATTCTTAAAGCCCTGGTATTGCGCTAAAATCAAAGGAATAATAGTTAACCTCAAGGCAATTACTATCACTTTTTAAGTATCTCTGCTGATGTCTTACGACAAAATCAAGTTAAAGGAGGGGATGTGGCAGCAGTTTATACTCTTCTTTTAGATGATCAGCTGCTTTATTCCCACTGTTCATGAAGTGTTAGAATGAATCGATTAAAGAGGTAACATTTCTCAATTTGCTCCAAATAAGTTATCCGCCTGTTATAAGGTACTTTTTCCTTTTATGACTACCAATGCTGTCACATTTGTTTCACATATCAAGTAGACATAGAAGTAGCAAGTGTCCTCAGGTATCCATATGCTTATTGCATACCTGCCAAACTCTTTTACAGTTTCATTCTTCATCACGTTTTTCACTGCTAATACGTTTTCCTATGCAGTTGCTTAATTGTTTTGAAACTCTTATATCCTTACCAACAATCACATTAAACTAAGCACTGTTTATACTGTCTTAAAGCCAAATCACCAACTGCACACCGGTGATTTGAACATTCAACCGCTGTGCTTGCTCGGATAAAGAGTTCTGTAAACCTGAAATCCAGCATTTCGTGATATAGATGTTTCTTACAAGCTTAGTGAAGCTTGTGTGTGTTGTGTGTCTTACACTTACAACGGTCTCAATTATGCATGACTCATCTTTACAAGATCTGACTATTTATCATTTATTTGTCTATTAATGAAAATATATTTTAGATGTGATAGTAAAGTAATGGTGGCTGACTAATCCCTGGTAACAATTTTCACGCAGTTATGTGATGAATGTTCACTCTACTCTTGCTTTTGTTTTTTTGTTTTTGTTAAGTATGATTTTGACTGAAATTACACTTGTCTTTTTGATTAGGTGAAGATATGTTTGAGTGCATTATCGATTAATTGTTTGTTTGGTGATGACCTGTTGGTAGTTTATTATTTTCAGTCGGTAGAGTATGAAGAGTTAAACAGTTCCGTATTACGTAATATATTGGGCTGACCTGAAAATAGGATCAGTCTGTCTGATTGACATGGATGATTACGTAATGACTAAGTAACCTGAATTTATTGAACTGGTAGCTTATCGTAAATTCATGCATTTTTTTGTAGTGTGTAGCGAAATGTTAGGCATCGGTGGTTTTATTCGTGACTTGACCTTTGTCCTATAATGCACACATTTATTTTAGAAGTAATGGTAATATTGACTGACTGACTGACTCACCCCTGATTACAGCTCAAAAGGAAAAAAATGACTATGTGATGAGTATTCACTTTGTCTTTGTTTTTGACATGATTTTGCATGACATGAAGTGAAGATATGGCCGAGTATAATTCTGACTGAGCGAAGATATATTAGGAGTCTATTAGGATTAGTGTGTAGGACAAAAAGTTTTGATCCGAAATACTACTGATAATGTCATATGAGTAGTTAAAGGGCGATTGCTTCAGAAAACGATGCTTTCTGCCTACATCGAATTGATCTCAACACAGGGTGTTGGTTTCGCTCGCTTTGGTCCAGTTCATTCATTCAGAGAGCTGAATCACTTCAAAGTGTCCTAATTCTGGCTAGCTATTCGAGTTAATTGAGAATAAAAAGAATGTAGATGTTTCTTACATTCTTGAGGTGTACTTGTGGCTTACAGATTTGAACTCTTTATTTTCGGCCACTGGAACTCTCCACAACTCTTACGGAGGCTTTTGCAGCGAAGTGGTATAATTAATGTCCCCAATAAACATTACTCAAAGCAGGCTGCGTCTAAATGCAATGAGTCTTCCTTAGATCTTAGGCGCAGATACAAGGCCTAGTTATGTTTATTTACTTAACCCAGCCTAATTAAGCTTCTACACTTACTGAATACTAGAGTAAAGCCGTACATACAAGTGACGCACTTCTCATTTCAATCGTACTTTTGCATATATATATACTTATTTTGGCTGGTAAAACGTTTATTTAATCGAGGAAGTTATTGTTAGAGTCCCTGTGTATTTTTACTCTGTAGGAATTTTGTATTTTCATTATGAATGTACTCTATTGTTTCAGGTTAATTCATTCCAACATGAATGCCAGTCAGTATTAAAAGAATTCGAATTGAGAACAATAAACTTCTTGGTGGTCAGAAATGTGCACAAATGTTCATGTAATACGAAAATTGGTTTATGGATTGAAGAAATAAATGATTTTATCTATAAATTTGAAGTAAGAGTATCCCAGTTTTTACTATTTTGTACGTTATTAACATTTTACACTCAATCCAAGTTCCACCTGAGCAATGGCCTGGCTCGAGATGTCACTCACTGGTTTCCTTAGTATGTGTCTGACGCATCTCCATTCCCTTCGACATATTTATTGACCAATATGTACTTGGTTGGTTCGTTCCTAGAGTTCGCTGTTGCTGATCCTTACCAGACACCTGAATTTAAGTATAAAGGGAAGGCAGCTGTCGATAAAAGTTTGCGTCAGGCTGTTGGACGTCTATTCTCTGGACCACATAAAAGTATTGACTTGACACTGATGTTGAAAATCTGAATCTTGCTCTTAATGCTGAGTGCAGCAAATTTCTAAATTGGTTTTAGAGTAGTTGCTTTGGAATCTTCATTCGGGCTGTTACCTGTAGTTGAGTCACTTCCTTCTAATTTTTCCGTTGATGGTGGGTGGTACTTGTTGTTGTTGTTGCTATTGCTGACCAGGTGTCTTCATCATCCCGGCCTTCTCTTTATTTACTTGAATTCCTGTCTCCGCTGACTGTATCTCCTGAAAATCTGCCGGTTTTCGCCTCCAGATCTTTGAGTTTGTGTGACATTAGACGTATATCATCCTTGAAGTCCAGAACTCTTCTTATCGGTCTAATGTATTCCCATCTTCTGGCCGCCCACAGTCTGTTGCATGATCAAGTCCACCACAATCAGGAACATCACCAGTGATAATAGGCAGTCTTTTCTTACTTCAGTCTTCGCTCAAAATGCTTCTCTTAGTTTTCTGCTGTGAATCAGTGACATCACCATATAGCTGTTGAACAGGGTTGATAAAAATTTGTGGCACTACACTCCATGGTGTTAAAGTAGTTTCCAAATTACCTAGTGTAAACGCCGTCGAAGGATTTTTCGAAATCGATGAAGTTGAGGTAGAGATTTGCTTACCATTCTATACTCCGTTCGATGATGATGCGTAGAGTTCCAATTTGATTGCAACATGATTTTTTTCCTCAATTCAAATTGTTCTGGTAGAGGGTGAGTTTCGCATTCAAAGCACCTCTGTATCTCATCAAGAATGACACGACCTAATATTTTGCTTGGTGTGGATAGGACTGAAATTTAGTGCTAGTTCCCGCAAAGACTCAAGTCTCCCTTCTTTAGAAGTTTGACGTGGTAGCCTTCCTTGCAGTTAGTAGGTACCTTTCCTTCCTTGCAAACTTTCTGAATCGGTGGTATCAGGGCATCCACTGGGGATCTCTGGACCCCTTTTTAGTGCTCTCGTGGGAATTCTGTCTGAACTTACCATCCTCCCGGTTTCTGGTAACTTCATGGTATACAAGACTTCTACTTTTTACGGAAGGTTATTGTTCACAGACTGTTTTTTGGCTGTTTGTGGCACTTCTGGGAGAGTTGTAGGTGGCCATCTGTTCGAGAGTCGTTTGAAGTAGTCCTCCTTACTTTTTCTTTGCTCCTCTTCTTTGGTTGTTTGGTTCCCTTCAATAACCTTCATTGCTTTCAGTGTGCTGATTTCTTCCCCGATAACTACCTGTTTATCTGATATAGTGATGTGAAGTCCCTCTTACCTGTAGCCTGTTCCGCTCCAGTTGCCAGTGTCTTGCTGAGTTAATTGTCTTTTATTTTTCTAACACTCTTTATTCAGTGAGATGTACGTTGAACTGAGCTTCTTCTTCTATTGTCCTTCTTTGCATTGGTTCATCTGTCCCACCATCCTCCATCTTCTATTAGCTTCCAAGTGTCCATTTAGAGCCTTTCCTTGTCTTTCCTCTTCTTCCTTACTAAGACAGCTGCACAGGTTTCCTCCAATACCGCTTTCAAGGAGTTCCAGTATTCTTGCATACTGGTCTCCTGAGTGATGCTACCAAATATTATAAGGTTTTCTGGTAATTACTACCGGTCTATTAAGCAGCAGTTTTTAAGTTTGTCAAGTTTAAGGAGGGGGTGGGTGGGAAGGTTACTCGATGTTCGAGAAAGATATTAGGCGTTCTGTATCACGAACCAAGAGAAGTAGTTAACCACTGGGTATTGGATTCCAACTTGCTGTAGAGAATGAACACTGATAAAGAGTTCTTAAGTAGGATGAAATGACGGCGAAGTGCTTTCTAGTTTTCCAAAGTTCTAGGCTGATTTGGATATGTCATAGAATCTAGAGTTACTTTAATCAATCTCTCATAAATCCAGTATCTGAGGATTAGAGTCTGTGCAGTTCTAGAGAGCGAGGATATGTAGGCGAACAAATAAACAGGATTACGACCTCATTTATTTATTTATTTCCAACTGGTAGTCCACAAATCCTAACACTATTGGAACTGGTTGCTGGGCTCCTTATCGATATGTCAGTTGATTCCCTACACTGATGAAGCTTTCATGATGCACTAGAAAGGGGGGGTCAAGTGATTTAATACATGTGCTCTTCATCTTTGCTTATGAGATTTAATATTGCGGGGGGGGGCGTATATCTTCCACCATTTATGGGAAGCGGCACATATACAGATGAAAACAGCCTTCAAACGTATTAACTGTCTATTCATGTGTTAGTTGTTTCCTTACACATATTATCCACCTCTCTGATTATGATTTATTTCATGTGTTTACAGTATTTAAACCTATTCATTCATTTGTTTTATTTAATTTTGACATCTACAGGACTTAAAAAGGTCTCTTGCTATTCTACAAAGTATTTTTGAATCGTCATGCAGGCTTGTATATCATGTGTACCATGATAATCATTTTTCATTTGAATACGCTCAAGATGAAAAACTGACGTATCTATTAGACAGATTGAAAAGCCTGACAGGATGGTTAAATCTGGCAGCTACGGGGAATGATGTAAGTTACTTGGCTTACTGTATATTATTATTGTATCGCTAATCTAAAATATCATTTCACTTAGTAATATACTTTTAGTTTACTATTTTGTCGATCTATTTAACACCTTAGACTTATTATTTTATTTCTTTACACTCTCAGTGGAACATAGGGCTTCAAGCTAGAAGCTTTAATTTTCAGTAGCAGTGGTGTTTGTTTTTACGGAATGGGGTTGCTAGCCTCATGCCCAACCCTTTCTCTTCACTGGCTTAGCAAGGTGAGGAAGTGCGTCGGCCGAGGATCGAACCCCGAACCTCTTGCATAGCTGGCGAGCATTCTATCGACTTCAGCAGTATGCACCCACCGCCATTCGAACCTATGACCTTCTGGTTATAAGGCGAGCTAGCTCGCAAACCATTAAGCCAATGGGACCCTTAGGCTTATAAGCAGTCATTCAAATTCTTGTGATCTTTGTCCAGTTTCTCTCGCCACTTGAGAACTCAGTGTATCTGAAACGCTTAGGATAATGCTTACTCTGTCCTTCTGGGATTATTTTTTCTAAAACAACATTACTCAACTCCTTGCGTTCCATTAACTATAAAACCTTTGACTGTGGCACAACTTAACCTCTTGTCTCATCTGGAAATTTATAAATCTGTATTAATTTGCGGGTGTTGCTTGGCAGGCACTCAGGTGATTTCAAATTTGATGACTGTTCGACCTCTGGTTGAGTTGTTAGCGCATACTGACGAAGAGTTCCAAACAAAGACGAAACAGTTAGATGCCCAAAACTGTCTGGTTCTTAGTGGTTCACCAAATGAAGTCAGTTCGTGATCTAACTTGGATCCTGTATTAGATTCTTTCTTCCTTATGAATCACTGAACTGATGAGAAGGACCTTTATTATGTCACGTAGGATTTTCAAGGCTGTAAGCAGAGTTAACACTGTGGCCGAATGTTTCTCTGTGTAAGCTTTAACTTCTTCAGCAGAATTATTTAGATTTTAATAAATTCTGAGATTTGTAGTGAAATGGTCAAAGTGGATACTTACGGTGTATAAACGCTACTGTGATAAGCTGAAATCTAGTAGCTGAAGCAATAAACTGCACTTCCATTAACGTTTATTCTCAAAAATCCTGGGCATTGTTGTTAAAATAGGTTTCTAATCGGAGGGGTATTTTGATAGGGTATTTGTGGCTTTGTTTTGTTAGTCCAGAAAATCAATAAGCCTACACAAGATAAAAATACTAACTCTTGACCCAATCACTGAACACACAGAACTTTATGTGTATTACATCACAAACTGACAAAAATTAAATATCATGAGCCACTGGATCCTATCTAAAGCATTTACATTAAAACTTTCTCCCCCACAAGGCATCACTGTCTTCGACTAAATCTCTGGTGACTTCTTTTAGATGTGCACTGTAAAAGAGCTTTAGATTAGAATGAAACAATTATTCACTGTTAATTTTTTCCGGTTTGTTCATGAGTTGACATCAGTTAGAGGGAGAACCATTGGAAAACCAACACCAGAGTACTGGATAGCTGTTTCGTCCTGGTTTGGGTCGCAGTGGTTGAATGGTCTACGAGTTCACCTTCTAACTGGAAAGTCCTGGGTTCGAACTTCTGTGAATGAGTACTGATGTAGAGTCCCAAACCGGAACTATACAGCTGTCCAGTACTCCAATGCTGGTTTTCCAAAGGTTCTCTAACTGATATCAATTCGTGTTCAAACCTGTAGCCAGTTAAATCAGCTTCTATTAGACTCATTGAGAAAGGATATTCACTGAAACCCATGAAGTGTCATATACGCCTAAAACAAATATGATTTTATACAGAATAAATTAAATCTTGTCAGCTCTAAAATTTTTGTTTTTTTAAAATTATTTATTTATTTGGCAGACCATTGTTTATCAGAAGTATTGACCTATAATATTTATTATCGGTAGAAGTATGGCTACAAAGTTCACTAGCATATATATATATATATGCATATTGATGTGAATTTGTAGACTCATACGTACACACAGGCATTTAGGTTACATAACAGACTTAACTAGCAAAATAGCACGATGATGAATATCTGTCAATAGGTCTCTTTTGTGCCAAATAACTAAAATGACAGTAATTTGAATCCAGGGTGCTCATTTGATCTTATTTCACACTCATCACCTGGATGTCCCTGGATTCCCTGGCGAATGATGGTTTTCCAACTGAGGCTGGAACCTAGTACCCTTCGTTTCAAATGCCATGGAGTCATCCACTAGACCACTCAGGCCCTGAGAGTCACCTCTTATGCAACATGTGTCAGTTATTATTATTCATTTTCACTTCAGTTCTGATTTTCCCTTTGATTGAATAAACCGAAGTGTTCGGCCTCAGGCACGTACAGGTGGCAAGTCCGAAGTAAGACGAAATTTTGATTGAGAAAGAAAGACCAGATTTGCAGTATAAAATGATATCATTCTATTTCACAGGTTCTCATCAGCTGCAAACTACCTGAAATTACAATGGTTATAAATAATAACATTTCATACTTCATTGTTTGAAAGGTAATAGAGAAAACATTATAAGGTGAACGCATCTGGAATATAAGTATTATAATCTAAGTCAATCACCATCAATTTATATATTATCAAACTATGAAAGAAGAAAAAAAAGGGGGGTGAGAGAAGACAGAAAACAGAAAAATCCAATAAACAGTGTCAGCATAGCAACTCAAGACGAAATTATCGTGCTGGATACCACTGCTAGTCACCGTTTATCACATTATTTCAAAGAAAAGGATTATTTTAAGGTTGATTTCCTCAGGTGTCTACAGGTTAAGCATTTCAGACAGCTGTATTCATCTGACTAGACCTGTCCTGTGTGTAGTGAAATCACGGAGTAAAAGACTGTCAGACTTAGAATGAATTGAATTCAGCTATCAGAATTATGAAGTCGTCTGAGACAGAATAATAGGGGGTATTTTTTTTACTCATAGTTAAACCACACATGTATCCTAGATTCGAATGCTAGCCAATATCAGTCGAGTAACTTCAAAAACTAACTCATGAAAATTAACCTGGTTTTCATCGCCAGTGACTGGCTACAGGATGAAGTTGGCTGTAGTTCCACTGAGAAGTTGTCATCGGTGGAGTCCATCCGATCGATAGTCAGGACAAATGCTCACCGATGACATTGACTAGTGCTGTTCACGTTAAATATGTCACGAATTGGTAGAAGTTAGAATTCATAGGCTGGCAATTGAATCGGGTCCCAGTGACTGGATGGCCTACGAGCTCACTTTGTGACTGGAAGATCTTGGGTTCGTACTTCCGATGAATCCCAAACGAAGCAAGTGGCTGTCCAGTACTCCACTGCTGGTTTTCCGAAGTTTCTCTAACTGATATCGATCCGTGTTCAAACTTGAAACAAATCAAATTCCTACAAACAAACTCTTGAAAATTTCAGATTACTCATTGTTTAAATCTTTGCTAACTATTTCTACACGATATTAATTCCACAGTGTTCAATCTCTCAAGGATAATCAAATGTCATAATCTGTGATTATTTGCTATTCTTTTTATTTCAGAATTCTAAGCCGACTGGAGTCAATGCACACGATGTTAAATATCGTTTTAAGTATTCGACTTTGATAGAAGCCTTAGATTTACATCGTGATTGTTACCAGTCTTCCTACTGTCCAATACCAATTAATGAAAAGTGTCCGTCGATACAGAATTTACAATGTGTTCATTACACTGATAGGTAAGTATAATACACGGTTGAATATGGTTTTATTTATTTTCTCATGAATATAGTCTACGTTACGTGCGTCGGTGGCACAGTGGTTAGGACTCTCGCCGACCATGCACATGGTCCGAGGTTCGATCCCCTTTCGACGCACACCTGCTATGGAATGGTCGGCCTGCAAAATTCGGGCTACCGATATCCACGCTGAAAATTCCATACATGTACCGAAAATACAGTGTGGAATCAAGCTGTAAATCAAAACAAAAAATGAATACTGGCCTGATTATATATTCTTGTTTTAACCAACTAGTCCCAAAATTAATTTTAAATTTCCTATCAGGAACTCTAAAGTAGCAGACCAGTGAAATATAATGCAAATCCGACTGTAGCAGTTTCGAATCCTACTCAGCCATTCCGGCCCTACCACCTACATCATCTTTGCTAACTGGCTAGCTAGTATGCATTGTCAAGCGTCGCACATTGTGGCCTGATAGGCAGGGATTCTTCTGGAAGTAATCTGGTTCTCAGTGGTTATAATTCTGTCGAAGGTACATATTCACTCAGACTGTTTTCTATTGCTAGTGTAATAAGGAATATTCTTTTCTTAGCGTTTTTTTCAATGCTATACAGTTATACAGTGCTGTGAAATGCCATGGCGATGCCTACATATTATTATGAAATTATTGTTCCACAAGGCTACATGGGTGTCACCAGACGGGCAAACCGAAAACCAAATCGACTTCATCTCAATCTCAAGGAAGTGGAGGCGCAGCCTACTGGACACAAAAGCAAGAAGAGGAGCAGACGTTGGCTCAGACCACTATCTCGTACAAGGGACAATCCAAATCAAATTAAAAGCTTTCAGGGAATCAGGAGCTGCAGATAGACCACAAGCCAAGTTCAACACTCAAAAGCTGAAGGACCAGGCTACAAAGGACATCTTCATTGCAAACATAAAGGACAAAGCCGAGACAAAGCCGTTATAATAGGGTGTGTCAGTTATTATTATTCATTTTCACTTCAGTTCTGATTTTCCCTTTGATTGAATAAACCGAAGTGTTCGGCCTCAGGCACGTACAGGTGGCAAGTCCGAAGTAAGACGAAATTTTGATTGAGAAAGAAAGACCAGATTTGCAGTATAAAATGATATCATTCTATTTCACAGGTTCTCATCAGCTGCAAACTACCTGAAATTACAATGGTTATAAATAATAACATTTCATACTTCATTGTTTGAAAGGTAATAGAGAAAACATTATAAGGTGAACGCATCTGGAATATAAGTATTATAATCTAAGTCAATCACCATCAATTTATATATTATCAAACTATGAAAGAAGAAAAAAAAGGGGGGTGAGAGAAGACAGAAAACAGAAAAATCCAATAAACAGTGTCAGCATAGCAACTCAAGACGAAATTATCGTGCTGGATACCACTGCTAGTCACCGTTTATCACATTATTTCAAAGAAAAGGATTATTTTAAGGTTGATTTCCTCAGGTGTCTACAGGTTAAGCATTTCAGACAGCTGTATTCATCTGACTAGACCTGTCCTGTGTGTAGTGAAATCACGGAGTAAAAGACTGTCAGACTTAGAATGAATTGAATTCAGCTATCAGAATTATGAAGTCGTCTGAGACAGAATAATAGGGGGTATTTTTTTTACTCATAGTTAAACCACACATGTATCCTAGATTCGAATGCTAGCCAATATCAGTCGAGTAACTTCAAAAACTAACTCATGAAAATTAACCTGGTTTTCATCGCCAGTGACTGGCTACAGGATGAAGTTGGCTGTAGTTCCACTGAGAAGTTGTCATCGGTGGAGTCCATCCGATCGATAGTCAGGACAAATGCTCACCGATGACATTGACTAGTGCTGTTCACGTTAAATATGTCACGAATTGGTAGAAGTTAGAATTCATAGGCTGGCAATTGAATCGGGTCCCAGTGACTGGATGGCCTACGAGCTCACTTTGTGACTGGAAGATCTTGGGTTCGTACTTCCGATGAATCCCAAACGAAGCAAGTGGCTGTCCAGTACTCCACTGCTGGTTTTCCGAAGTTTCTCTAACTGATATCGATCCGTGTTCAAACTTGAAACAAATCAAATTCCTACAAACAAACTCTTGAAAATTTCAGATTACTCATTGTTTAAATCTTTGCTAACTATTTCTACACGATATTAATTCCACAGTGTTCAATCTCTCAAGGATAATCAAATGTTCCATATTAGTTTGATTATTAAATGTATCACACAGTGAAACAGTATTGTATACTGGATGACGTTTCGAACACAATTTATTGTTCATAATCATATCAGTTTTTGTCACACGACTTTGAGATTTGATTTTTATAGTTTTCTCTGTCTTCTCCTATTTGTTGTATGGGCAGTAGAATTTTCCATATATCTGGGACAGGTGTTGAATCATTCCTATTACGTGTATTTGCAGTTGATTCGATAAACAAAGCTTCTGTTATCAATCTCTCCCTATACCCTGTGACATTAGATTTTAAAACTGTCATCCTATCCCATCCTATTGTATGGTTGTGTGTAACTGCATGTAGTGCATGTAGTAATCAAATGTCATAATCTGTGATTATTTGCTATTCTTTTTATTTCAGAATTCTAAGCCGACTGGAGTCAATGCACACGATGTTAAATATCGTTTTAAGTATTCGACTTTGATAGAAGCCTTAGATTTACATCGTGATTGTTACCAGTCCTCCTACTGTCCAATACCAATTAATGAAAAGTGTCTGTCGATACAGAATTTACAATGTGTTCATTACACTGATAGGTAAGTATAATACACGGTTGAATATGGTTTTATTTATTTTCTCATGAATATAGTCTACGTTACGTGCGTCGGTGGCACAGTGGTTAGGACTCTCGCCGACCATGCACATGGTCCGAGGTTCGATCCCCTTTCGACGCACACCTGCTATGGAATGGTCGGCCTGCAAAATTCGGGCTACCGATATCCACGCTGAAAATTCCATACATGTACCGAAAATACAGTGTGGAATCAAGCTGTAAATCAAAACAAAAAATGAATACTGGCCTGATTATATATTCTTGTTTTAACCAACTAGTCCCAAAATTAATTTTAAATTTCCTATCAGGAACTCTAAAGTAGCAGACCAGTGAAATATAATGCAAATCCGACTGTAGCAGTTTCGAATCCTACTCAGCCATTCCGGCCCTACCACCTACATCATCTTTGCTAACTGGCTAGCTAGTATGCATTGTCAAGCGTCGCACATTGTGGCCTGATAGGCAGGGATTCTTCTGGAAGTAATCTGGTTCTCAGTGGTTATAATTCTGTCGAAGGTACATATTCACTCAGACTGTTTTCTATTGCTAGTGTAATAAGGAATATTCTTTTCTTAGCGTTTTTTTCAATGCTATACAGTTATACAGTGCTGTGAAATGCCATGGCGATGCCTACATATTATTATGAAATTATTGTTCCACAAGGCTACATGGGTGTCACCAGACGGGCAAACCAAAAACCAAATCGACTTCATCTCAATCTCAAGGAAGTGGAGGCGCAGCCTACTGGACACAAAAGCAAGAAGAGGAGCAGACGTTGGCTCAGACCACTATCTCGTACAAGGGACAATCCAAATCAAATTAAAAGCTTTCAGGGAATCAGGAGCTGCAGATAGACCACAAGCCAAGTTCAACACTCAAAAGCTGAAGGACCAGGCTACAAAGGACATCTTCATTGCAAACATAAAGGACAAAGCCGAGACAAAGCCGTTATAATAGGGTGTGTCAGTTATTATTATTCATTTTCACTTCAGTTCTGATTTTCCCTTTGATTGAATAAACCGAAGTGTTCGGCCTCAGGCACGTACAGGTGGCAAGTCCGAAGTAAGACGAAATTTTGATTGAGAAAGAAAGACCAGATTTGCAGTATAAAATGATATCATTCTATTTCACAGGTTCTCATCAGCTGCAAACTACCTGAAATTACAATGGTTATAAATAATAACATTTCATACTTCATTGTTTGAAAGGTAATAGAGAAAACATTATAAGGTGAACGCATCTGGAATATAAGTATTATAATCTAAGTCAATCACCATCAATTTATATATTATCAAACTATGAAAGAAGAAAAAAAAGGGGGGTGAGAGAAGACAGAAAACAGAAAAATCCAATAAACAGTGTCAGCATAGCAACTCAAGACGAAATTATCGTGCTGGATACCACTGCTAGTCACCGTTTATCACATTATTTCAAAGAAAAGGATTATTTTAAGGTTGATTTCCTCAGGTGTCTACAGGTTAAGCATTTCAGACAGCTGTATTCATCTGACTAGACCTGTCCTGTGTGTAGTGAAATCACGGAGTAAAAGACTGTCAGACTTAGAATGAATTGAATTCAGCTATCAGAATTATGAAGTCGTCTGAGACAGAATAATAGGGGGTATTTTTTTTACTCATAGTTAAACCACACATGTATCCTAGATTCGAATGCTAGCCAATATCAGTCGAGTAACTTCAAAAACTAACTCATGAAAATTAACCTGGTTTTCATCGCCAGTGACTGGCTACAGGATGAAGTTGGCTGTAGTTCCACTGAGAAGTTGTCATCGGTGGAGTCCATCCGATCGATAGTCAGGACAAATGCTCACCGATGACATTGACTAGTGCTGTTCACGTTAAATATGTCACGAATTGGTAGAAGTTAGAATTCATAGGCTGGCAATTGAATCGGGTCCCAGTGACTGGATGGCCTACGAGCTCACTTTGTGACTGGAAGATCTTGGGTTCGTACTTCCGATGAATCCCAAACGAAGCAAGTGGCTGTCCAGTACTCCACTGCTGGTTTTCCGAAGTTTCTCTAACTGATATCGATCCGTGTTCAAACTTGAAACAAATCAAATTCCTACAAACAAACTCTTGAAAATTTCAGATTACTCATTGTTTAAATCTTTGCTAACTATTTCTACACGATATTAATTCCACAGTGTTCAATCTCTCAAGGATAATCAAATGTTCCAT